TATGTATATATGTGTATGTATGTATGCATGTATATATATATGTACAGTATCCCTTCCAGATAATACAGCATTTACAATATTGTAAAATACAATAAAATATGTTTTCTGATGACACTTTAAAATTAACATAACATGCAATACATTTTTGTAAAATCCAAAACATATTTAACCATAAATATTTAAAAATATGAGAGTCTAAACATCAACTGCTGCACCAACCTCTCCCACTCTTACGTTGCTAGCACAGTACATTGATATCTAACCTGTCTTTTATTCACAGGACTGCTGTTGACTTTGCTTCAGCCTTAGATACTATCTGGCCTTTCTTTGCAAACGAAGGATGTAAACGCACACAAAAACAGCAACTTATTGAAATGGATATCATTAGAAAGGTGAAAATGAGTAAAAATATTTTATTACCGAATTAAATTGGTGGCAAATAATATTGATAGTAATATCTTATTAAATTGTGTGTACTAAGTGCGAGGAAAATAAAATTCAATTTATAAGCAGGGGCAGTTACAGTTAGGCTGTACAAAATGGTACGCCTAAATTTTCTTGTGGCTGAATTTGTATTGAAACTTCTGTCTACTTTTCCTTAAATCCTGGGAAAATTCAGCTTTCATTGCAAATCAGATTAGCTGGTGACTGTTGCAAATAACAGAATATATCGAACATTTAATATCTTTTCACTTTCATCATAAATTATCTCATTTCTTTTTCTTACAATAAATAACATGTGTAGGTGAAGCAGAGTGACCCAACCATACCCACATCAGATTACACACATTTTTCACGACCTGGTTCTGCGTATGTCATGAAAGGACAGTCTTTAAGAGGCGACTCAAACTGGAGTGAAGATAGGAATCGTGTAAGTATACCTTGTGAAACAGCAGCCACATCCCTGCCAAATTAAAGAGCCACCACGTCAGCTACAGGCCTACCCCTTGTGAAACAGCATCCACATCCCTGCCAAATTAAAGAGCCACCACGTCAGCTACAGGCCTACCCCTGTGAAACAGCAACCACATCCCCACCAAATTAAAGAGCCACCACGTCAGCTACAGGCCTACCCCTTGTGAAACAGCAGCCACATCCCTGCCAAATTAAAGAGCCACCACGTCAGCTACAGGCCTACCCCTGTGAAACAGCAACCACATCCCTGCCAAATTAAAGAGCCACCACGTCAGCTACAGGCCTACCCCTTGTGAAACAGCAGCCACATCCCTGCAAAATTAAAGAGCCACCACGTCAGCTACAGGCCTACCCCTTGTGAAACAGCAGCCACATCCCTGCAAAATTAAAGAGCCACCACGTCAGCTACAGGCCTACCCCTTGTGAAACAGCAGCCACATCCCTGCAAAATTAAAGAGCCACCACGTCAGCTACAGGCCTACCCCTTGTGAAACAGCAGCCACATCCCTGCAAAATTAAAGAGCCACCACGTCAGCTACAGGCCTACCCCTTGTGAAACAGCAGCCACATCCCTGCAAAATTAAAGAGCCACCACGTCAGCTACAGGCCTACCCCTTGTGAAACAGCAGCCACATCCCTGCAAAATTAAAGAGCCACCACGTCAGCTACAGGCCTACCCCTTGTGAAACAGCAGCCACATCCCTGCAAAATTAAAGAGCCACCACGTCAGCTACAGGCCTACCCCT